TGAGAGGTTAATTGGTAAAAGTATATTGCTTTTTGGTAAATGTGATTCACTGATGGAAATCTTTTAGAACACACATGAAAAATAAAATAAGCAAAGGTGTAAAACATAGCATTTTACTTATAATTCTTTCACTTTAGTCCTGACGATACCAAGTACTACTTTTGTCCCATAATAGTTGTTACATTTTGTGTATGGAATGTGCATGCAAATGTAACAACTATTATGGGACAGAAGTAATATTGAGAATATTGGTTTTTACTCTCAGGTAAGTGTGATTTGCCAACTTACTGGGAATCTATTTGCTAAGACAGCACCTATCTAGTACACCTAAAAAGAGATATTTTGAACTTGTTACATTCCTTAAGTTGAAAGGAAGCTAGTAAATTTGTCACTGATAAAAGCAAAGTAATAATTTGTCCTGGGTATGGCAATAAAATACATCTGGCAATAAGACATCTTAGTCGCTGTTGTTCTCAGGTCCATCCTTACTCAGGGTGGTAGCACCTGTTAGGGTCTCAACTATGAGCAAATAGTTAACCTCCTAAACTGTAGTCAAAACAAGAAAATAAAAAAATTCATTAGAAAATTGGTCAGTCATGTGCCATGCATGATACATGCTTAGGTGATTATGTATCTTTCAATACATGACCAACAGGGCAGATTTTTTTTTCCCCCGCAGTAGGTTGCCATTTCTTTCTGCGGTAGACCAGTTGCCAACCAAAGATATAGAATCCATCCAGTCTGTCCTGCTATTTGCCCATAGCTGGGGAGAAGAGGATTCATACCTTTCTTGAGGGTATTAGCATGTAAGTGAATGTAATGAATTTGAGTGGAATTCAAAGTCTGCACTCCGATTACTCAATCCGGGCCGCTATCCATTATTCCACCGTGCCTCCTAGCAGCAATACATTATTGAAAAATAAAATTACCAAATTTCACAAGAACATAAAATTTTGGCATTAAATGACCCATATGGAGTTGATATGCTGTTAAACAAACAAAATAATAATCTAATAATTTCCTTAACAGATATTTGGGACTAATTGCAAATTTTAAAACTTTAATATTTTTAGTTATTCTTTGTAAAAAAATGTTTATTCCTTTCAGAGATAAAAAAAAAATGAACTTCAGAATTTATGCTGACATACCATATTATAGAATCAGACAAATCTTTTTCTTAAAACAATTTTTCAATAAGAAACTTGGGTTCTCAAATCCACTGTTATCATGCTTTCCAGTATTCATGGGGGTTTCATAACATTTTGTTTGAAGTAGTGGAATATTAGTATCTTGATTATGTCATTATTTTCTCTGAAAGTTAGGTGCTATCCATTTTAGCTTTTGCTACTGTTAAGTCTTCAAGTGACATGGTTTTTGTTATTTGGTATAGTTCTTTGTGACTGTTGCACCAAATTCACATGTTTGAACAAAGGAATGCCTACAGGTTTCATTCACTCAAAGCCATTTTAAACCTTGATCTGAGAAAATGCTTGTATAGAGCTGACAATTTAGATGTTTCTGAATGAGTTTGGTGCCATGCATGGCATGCATATCAAAGTTTTGATCTGACAAGGCTATTTAAGAACATGACTTAAGGTTTTAGGTTAATGTTTTGATTTTGTAGTAATTTGTGGTGTTGGGATAAATTACTCCTAATTCAACTGATTCTATATTCAATTTATTTCTCTCCTATACTGAATTTGTTCAGAATGTACCAATCAAAATTAAAAAGAGGACAATGTGATAATTTTGATAAGTACCCCAATACATCTGGGTCTGTAATAGTGGAATCCTAAGTGTACCTCATTCTATACCACAGCTATGTTCCCTGTTTTAAGTAAGGTACATTCTGAATACCATTTGAAAGTCTTAGGAATGATATACATCGAATCTGTAAGCAGGTGTGTCTTTGAGGTGTGAATATATTGTTTTGTCTTTAAGATATATAAGGATATATTCCTCCCTCTATTTTATTTTGTTGTGCAGACTTTTTGTTCTTTGAAAGTCTGAAGAGTGAGGAACAATAATCAATTATCTTTGTTTATATCTCTTTTTTTCTTTTTTTTTTATACCTCTTCATGGTAATTTCTTTTTCTTTTCCCTTGTTCTTCTTTTCCCTTGTTCTTCATTTCCCTTGTTCTTCATTTCCCTATTAGATTGTTATTTTAATATGTCCATTTTAATGCAATAATAAAATATAAAAACCTAAAAGAGAGATTTATAATTACTTCTATAATTAGTTGACATTGTAAATTGGCACTTTCACTTTCCAATCTCGATAATCTAAAAAGAGTCTCCATGTTCTTGGGAGTGACAAATTATTTTCTGCCCTGCAATCCCTTTTGTTATAAGCCTCTCACTGCTCTATTGTTATTTCCATGGAAAGTGTTCAAACAGACTACATTCCTTAGTTCCACAAGTTTTAACCTTCATGGCTAAGACCTGCTATGCCATGCACATTGTAGTGAACCACCTGCATTCCCTTGTTCCATTGGGGTGATGTAAGTTTTGCTTGAATACCCTCTTTTGATGAACTGCTACTTTGTGGAACTGACTCCCAAGAGGATGCTTCCCTGATCCCTACAATCTTAACCTGTTCAAGTCTAGGGTTAACCATTATCTTCCCCACATATCCCTATAAACTGTGACTCTTATTCTGTAACATTCTACCTCGAGTGGCTCTTAGGCCTTGTACAGAGGGAACATCATTGTTAAAAGGAAAAACATGCAAGACTCTATATTATTGGAAAGAGAAACAGAAACAGTAAATAAAACCAAATAGCAGAGACTTTGATCTTGGATTCTTACTCATTGAAGCCGAAATAACCACAATTACCCTTTATTATTCAGGGTACAAATAGTTTCCTAAATAAATAATTGTAAACTTTTATCTTTGTGTCTACATGTGTTTGTATGAAAAATTGCCAACTAGTGGCAATAAGATATGTGACTATGATGATATTACAAAATCCCTTCAGGACATAGGTGATCATGGCTCTCTATTTCTTCCTGTCCTTTGTAGCTCTCAATACGTTTTGTCTTTTCGTTATTCCTCCCAGACACCTGTTCTGCCATCCACTTGCTTAAGCCCATTAAGTATGTTGTGTTGCTTCCCCTTGTCCCTCTTCCCTTCTATCTGGCCTGTGAGTATCAGATTTTCCTTGCCCTCCTTATTACATGTCCCACAAATTTTAGCTGCCTCTTTCTGATGTTAAGTATAAGTTTCCTGTTTGTTTGCATCCTCTCCCAAACCTCATCATTGCTCACATGTTCAGTCCATGGTATCCTTACACCTGTACCTCTGTTGCCTTGAGTCTTTTCTTAATCTTTGAGATCATCCAGCATTCGATGCTGTAAAGGAGGTCGGACATCATGTGGCAGTTCAGCATCCTTTTCTTTGTTATCAATGAAACCCTCCTGTCTTGTAATATTCTGCCTAGCTTTTGGAATGCATCTTTGGCCATCCCAATATGTCTTTGGATCTCAGTGTTGCACTTGCTGTCTTCTGTCAGAACACTTCCCAGATATTTAAATTTCTGCACCCAACCGGTAAATCACATTTTGAGCTCATCTTTTTGATGATGACCATGCATTCTGTTTTCTTGTAGTTTATGCTTAGTCCCTTTTTCTCGCTCTCCTTTGCTACCTTCTGTAGGAGATTTTGTAATTTCCTTTCCATGTCTGCTATTAGTACTGTGCCGTCAGCAAATCTTATGTTGTTAAGATTGTGCCCACAAATGATGAATCCTGGTAGGATTTCCAGTTCTCTCAGAAAATAGGTCTGGTGAGAAGACACATCCTTGCCTTGTGCCTCTTTCTATTTTTGTATATCTGCTAAACTCATTTTTTATCTTTATGAAGGCAGTTTGATGTTAATAGAGGTGTTTGATTATTCTAATGTCTTTCCCGAATATGTCAAGGTTGCTGAGCAGCTCTGCCAGCCTATTGGACACTCACATGTATTGGATGCACCCAGATTTTGGCATGGAATATTTAGGGGAAAAAATGCACACATCACAACCAAAAAAAAATTATAACCTTACCTTTATGCGGCTTTCTCACAATGAAGAAACACTTACAGTATTAACCCAAATTATACTACTGGTACATCTTTTTAATAGAAGTGAGATAAGGTTTAATTACCAGGACATTTTTTTGAAAAGAATTTTGGTACATTTCATAATGCATTTATTGAAAATTGTTTTAGCTGTTTTTCAGGGAGCAACATCTGCACATACAGTAAATTCATAGTAGCTACAAAGAAATCTACTGGTATCAGTGAACACTGGAACACTATTATCATATGATAATAGGCAAAAAAACAGAAATATGGTACTTGTTGGTAAATGAAGTCCCATACTAATACATGCAGAAAAGCAAATGCCAAGACCTGTATATCAACAAAAACACATACAAAAAAGCAGGAATATACCAGTCAAAGCAAATATTTCTGTAAAATCTGGTATTTTTTATAAAGCAAGCAACAAAATATTGTGCAATTCCATAAATTTCTTAATTTCTTTTTCCAGGTTGAATTTTTCAGGGATATTTTTATTGATATTATGTTTGTTCACTTTCAAGAATTCTAAGATCTATGCGTGCATTGATTCTTGGTGAACCGCACTTTTTTGTGGTCTGCATGTTCTTCTCATACATGATACTGCTGTATTGGATGCAGTGTATATTTTTGAAGAAGTCTGCATCCAATAGGGTGGAAAGTATGGTAGTTTTTTCTGTTTTTTTGTCTAAAAATAATAAATTATAGAATATCTAATTATTTTAGAATGGGCATAAAATTTAATACTGGCAATAAAAACGGACATTAAGATAATAAGAGGAAATAAATGACAAAAGAGGGGGTAAGAAAACATTACTTTTTTTGTTACTCCTTTTTTTTTTCTTTTTTTTCCCCTCTAGTTGTTTTTAACATGTCCATTTTTATTGCAATTATTAAATTATAAAATAGCTTTAAGGATTACGCTTGTATTCTCCAGGAGTCTTACGGCCACATCACATTCAAACACCGGTTCTCTATACAATCACTAAAGTTAAACGACATTGAACCTAGTCAGTACTTAGATGGGTGACCACTTGGGAATACCAGGTACTGTAAGTTTGGATATGCAAGTAGTGTAATGACTAATGGTTTGGAATTGTTAATTGTTGCCAAGTTCCAATTCCCACTGGGTTTGTTATATTCACTTATGCACAAATACCCTTGGGAAAGAAATGAATTTACCTCTTCGTCCCCAGCCGTGGGTTAAATAGTAAGACTTGTATCACTAACCCATTGTTCTTTAAAAAAAAAAAATTCTAGAATCTAAAAATATTTCCTGGCTTTAAATAACCTGCAATGTTTTTTTTTTTATTCTGCTCAGAATACTTATTTCTCAAAGAATGTTTTCACTTGAAGTCCTATAGTTAACTAGTTACCCTCATAATAATAAGTTAAATTTGTTCATTTTCTAAATAAATTCTATTTGAAAGTGTGTTAATTGAAGAGAATAAAATTTCTAACTTAATAACTATAAATGCCTAAAAGTTGAAACTTTGTATATTAATAATTCAATATATGTTTGTCATTAAATATTAAGTTAATCAAATTTTATTTAAAGTTGGTATCCACTCAGTTGGGATATCATATTTGATGAATAATTTTCAATAAAAAGAGATTTTTCATCTTGTGTGAAATTGATTAATAGAATGTTCTAATAATGTGTCTACTATAATTTCAATGTTTAATTTGTTCATTTCACCAAATCTTATTTTACATAGGTTTTTAAATCCTTCCTTCGCAAACATTACGGATTAATACTTAAGCCTCAAGAAATGTAGCCTTATTTCTGAGAGCATGAGATCGGCTCATTATCTGTTGTTCAGCAACATGCTTCAAATTGACCTTTGTTTCTTGCTTCTGCTATATGAAATTTATTTGTAATTAATAAATTTACCAAGTCAACATCAATTTGGTTAAGGATTAAGTGTTAAAAAAGGGGGCTAAGTTGAAGCAATGTGTAAAAATGCCAACATTAATAAAATTACAAAGCCTATCTTTTATCAAATTTATTGCATGTCTTGCTTAACCTCATTTTGAACAGGACCAATTTCATTTGGAGTCTCAAGAATTAATTTTTAATCACTTTATTATTTATTATTGTGACACTATTTAGCTATGGTAATTGACTAACTAATTAACCATAGAAATTAAAAATAGGAAAGACTTAAGGCGAGAAAGAGCTATATCGAAAGATAGACTGAGCGACGTTAAAAAGATTTTATTTTTATTTACAAAAAAATAAGATACTTTTCACACAAGACAGAAAATTTGTAAGAAAAATCGAGATATGAGATTCTGTCAAAACTGATTAATGTTATGGTAAGGGAATGTTGCACCAAGGGAAACGGAATTCAGAAAGAAAAACAAAGCCGCCTGACACATGGTGGTCATAAAAAATTTTTTGGCTTGAGACAACCCTGGTACAGGCAGAGAGAATCAATATTAGTTATCTTTCAGAGATATCATTTAATTTTGATTCCTGGGTCCAACGAAGGGAAATCATCTGGTATGTGTTAGAATTTTGGCATGAGGAAGAAAATCGTGGAGGAAATTATTATTCTTACTTTTTCAAACTGTTGACGTCAGACACAGTGTCGTCGAAAATGGGAATCTGGTGATAAGAGGATTTTAAGGCATGAGAAAAATAAAGAATTTGATTCCCAGGTAAACACGGACTCCCAGTTAAAAGTTGACTTAGCAGAGAAGCCAGATGTTGGGTTTTGACAGTGATTGATGAGTCGGTAGAGAGTCTTGGCTAAGTGAATTTTGGGTGTCCCCAAAAGAAAGATGTGATAAGAATTATTTGGCAATCTGGGGTTTGAAAAAATGTTTTGGGCTGATGGAGGGGAAAAAGAAAAAAAGGATTTTGTGAACAAAATTCTGGATAATAATTTTAAGAGGACCAGTCTAGCCACACACACACTGCCAAGAGATCATTGGTCAAGTGGTAGCATGGGTGATAGGCGGAGGTGAATGTATGAGAAAGGCAGAGAAGTTGTTAACACCCACTGAAGGGATTGGTATGAGATACCAATGTGAGAGAGGAAGAGTCTAGGAGAATAACTCTCCTCTCACCTTCCCTCACAGACGAGGGAGAAACCCCTAAAATGGAAAGTGATTAATCTTCCAAAAATGGGAAGTAATTAATTTTCCTGGCCTAAGAACAAAGAGAATTCTTGTTGGGAATCTAGAATTATCGAGGAACTCAAACTATGTCAGGCCCCACACTGGGTTTTGGTCAGTATCAATATAAACGAACATCTCCAGAAATTTCAGTTGGAGTTCAGTTCCGGACGGTCAGTGTTGCCTTGCAGAAGCTGATCAAGAGATTCCACGTCCTTTTGACTTTGCAAGTTATATTGACGAACGGCTTAAGATACCAAAACTTGCTTAAGAAATGCACAAGTGTCACAAATCCATAGAAATGGGCTGGGAGAGAAACACACACCTGTATATAAGACAGATAAAGATAATTTGTTATTTCTCAACATACTTGAACCTCTTGAGTTTTGTTTTATTGTTTCTTTTACTTAAGCTCATGCGATATCACCTTTACCCTGGATTCAACTTGCACTACAGCCCGATGCCTGATTGATTTCGTCTACTTAAGATCAGTCACAACGTGGGTAGGTTAGACTGAGATCAAAGTTGTTACTTTGGTAACCAGACGTTGGAAGTGAGCTGGGAATGACAAATCTGGTATTGAACTGGGAACGACCAGGTCGACTGGGACATAGGCTGGTGGCAGTGACAAAGAGTCAACCCCAAAACACTGGTGGAAGAAACCTTACAGCTTTGCGCCGCAACTGGGAGTTGACCATGGGCCAACAGCACAGTGTCACATATTGATGTCGTGACAAAAGGATGTCACATATTGTTGCTGCGACCACCAGAGTGTCACATTATTGTGTGTTGTTTGATAGAATATTTTCTTATTTATTAATTTAAAAAAAATATTAAAAACCATGCCCAACAATTTATTAACTTCTTATACACGCACAAAAATAAAGACCAAGCGTTGGTAAAGAATAGTTTTTCATTTTGTCATTATTCATACAAAACTATTATCATTATCCTGTTCACTTTCTATGAAAAGGTTTTCAGCCTGACCAAGAAAAGTTTTTAAAAAAAATCTTTTCTTTATTCAAATTTTGGCGAGTGGATTTGAGTCAAGAATTTTTCAATATCTTAATTTTGAAATATTGATTCCTTGCAAAAATGTATTTTTTTCCCCATCACATTCACTTCTATAAATTTGCAAAAAATTTCTTAAGTCAGATGTAATGATGAAAAAAATGATAAAATAATTGCAGTGCTTGTTAAATCTTGTCATTATTATGAATGACTGCTGGGTGCAACAAAACACAACATTCTCATTTGTAAAAACAAAAATTTTTATCTTGAATCTTATTCAAATTGAAAAATTGTTAACTGAAATAATTTAAACATTTTGAAACTATAAATGGTGAGGGGGTGCATTTCCTTGGTTTATTAATGGTAATGGTGAGATTAGCCATTTCCATTCAGGAAACATTTGATCAAACAACATTACTGTCAGTTGAAATTTATAAAATCTTTCCCTTCAAATAATTTTTCAGGAAAATAGGATTCTCAAGTTCACTGTTATTGCTCTTTCTAATATTGATTGTTTCTTTCTTAGCCTTTTGTTTAAAGTAGTGTGGAAAATCAACATTTTGATTATATCATTATTTTACCTTGTAATTATATATGCTATCCATTTTAATTGTTGCAAAAGTTCAGTGTCTAGGTCTGTTTCTCATAGTTTGTTATATGATAGATGCACTCCATCAGAACAATTTAACATTTCAAAATAGATAAAGGTTTATTTTTTTTGTTTTTAATCATGGTTGTTACATGATAAATAAAATAATAATAATAATGATATAGGTACTTCCACTAATTTGGTAAATGTAAGGTTTAAAATGAATTTTTAAAAATGAAAAAGCTTTCTTGAAGTTTTCGTTTTAGTTTTAACAATTTTCAGTGAACTGAGACCAATCTCTCTTAAGCTCAAACAAAAGTGATTGCAGTCTGCCGGCGACTGCCATGAGCAGACAGGGAAGTCGTCTCTTGTATGGCATCTTTCTGGAGGTGTCTTCTCACAAAAGTTGACTTTTCCCAGACACTGTGGCTCAGGACTCATGGTTGGACATTGGGGATCTGGGGACAGTAATGCAGGACAGAGCAGTGTGGAAGGGGATTATTAATGGAGTTCCAACCAACCTTGGGGGGGGGGGGTTGAAAGATGATGATTAACTCTAATTGATAGCTAAATTTGTTATTTCCATTAAGTAAAATACTGTGGTATATTTCAAAAAGAAATTATATTGATCAGAATCACTTTTTTTTTTTTTTTTTTTTTTTTTCTCAGTAAATTTGATAAAATCGGCCATTTTGACACATTTGCAAATAAGTTAATTCTTGGTTTTAAAAATCTTGCAAAAATAAAATATATATTTCTGAAACATTATTTGATGAAAATTAGGAAATTTAAAATTAAATTAATCTGATTTGAGACAAATATTATTTACTTATAGCATAAAATGTTGTATACAAGCATTTTTTAAACTATGGGGTTTTGTTTTTCTAATCAGTTTATTGACTGCTGAATGTGTTCATAGTTAAGTATGGTGGAGCAAATGATAAAGTTTGCGTGAAGATTTTTTTTTTCTGTAAGTGGAATCAACCCTTAAAACACATGACCTTTTAATAATAATGTTAGGTTTGAATATCCATACTTAGAAATTCTACATGTATATATGTATATAAAAACAAACTGAATTTCTTTTTAAAAATATTCGGGGTAGTCGGATTGTAATAAGCTTTGCCATATATAATTAGTAAATATACTTTTACTTAATAAATAACAATATTTCCTAAGAGTGGAAACTGAATTTTAAAAGATTTAAAAATTGTAAAAAAAAAAAAATTCATTTTTTGTCAGACAATATTGTCTTTAATATATATCT